CCCTTCTTCTGCATGACGTTTTATTATTATTATTGTTTCTTTTTTTTCTTCGATTTTTTTCTTTTCCTTTTTTGGATTACGGTGAAGGGGGAATTGGAAATGCTGCGCAGCAGTAGTAGCCTTCGACGTGGCGTATACCACAATGCCCCGAGCGTGTATCCATTTGTAAAGCCTTTTCACGACACCCCGTACGACGAGGATCGGGGTAGGCACGACGTTGCGGGAAGAAACTTGCGCAGGAACAGTTGGCCCGCGTGGATGGATAATGGGGCGGATGCCTCTGGATACGGGATAGGACTGCATCGCGTGCATCCTCTCTCAAAGTTGCGTGGTAACCTTAAAACTAGCCCCTCGCATGTTCCGCGTGTGCTGAATATGATGATTCAAGGGGTTTGGCACAAAAGCGGGGTGAAGCTGTACTTTCGCGGTGGCAAACCCCCAAATCCGAGCAGGCACCCGTACCTAACAGGAGAACCTTGCCCTGTGTACGGGTGGAGGGTGACTGATGCGTCGGTTATTAGACAGTTTAACATGCCAAGCGTTGATGTCATGAAACTGCGATACAAACCCTACGTTGCCTTGCAAGAGCGAAAAATAATGGGTACGAGCGCGCATAAACCGGTTGAAACCCAACCACCAACGAAACCAACAGCAGCCAAACCACTGGTTAAGCGGCTCTTTTTCTGGCAGTGATACCTTTGCTGCTGAAATTGTCTTGGTGAGGGAGTGTTCTTGTTTTTTTTTTACTTCTCTCTGTGTGTGTGTGTGAAAATGTATTTGCCCATGGCTTTGGCTTGCTGGTACCCTTTTAATTGCCATTTCACATTCACTTGGACATAAAACACTATTATCGTTGCTATTTTGTTTCCCCCTTTTATTTATATATATATATATATGCATATAAATTGGTTTTCTTACCTTCGTCAACCGCAATAGCTTCGTGATAGTTTTTTTTTCTTTTTATTCCTTGCGCGGTGCACGCCAATGCAGGAGCTGTATGAAACCGTCAGTAGATACGCGGGGCGTGGCGCACTTTCCCACACCCCCGGCAGGCTGCCTCCCCGCAAGGCGGCGGAGCAGTTTCTCGGCTCCCTGGTTTTCCAGGGCCGCCTGAACTCCCTCTGCGCCGCCTTGGTGGCTCGCTTTATGGTTTCGAAGGAGACGCTTGTGGTCGTCTCCCGCGACGCCGTTCAACACATTTCCTGCGACGGTTACTCGCTGCAGCCGCGACGCTCCGCGCTGGGCCCCACGTCGGGGGAAATCACAGGCGTGGTTACGGCGGACGGGTCCGTGACGGTTGGATACAGCGCCGGTGTGAGTCGGTACTCCCCAAGACTTGTACTCGAGGCGGAGATTATCTTTGACGCGTACACGAACAGCATTCTTAGCATCGCGGTTCCCCCCGATGGGTCGTGCATCGCCACGGGCGGCGGCAACGCGACGGTCACGGTTTGGACGCGTGAGATGAATGCCATGCACTACCTCGCCGGCCACACAGACTGGGTCCGCTTTGTGAAGTTCACCAAGGGAGGTGGGCAGCGGCTGCAGCTGGTCAGCACCGGCGACGATGGGCTCATTCTGCACTGGGACCCGCTGGCCGGGGTGATGCTGTCACGGCTGGACTATTCACACGGCGAGAGTGTTCGCGCCTTTGAGGTTTCCTGGCGAACAGGTTTTATAGCGATTGCCTGCGACAACCCAACCATTTCGTTGTATAGGCCGCGCGAGAGCGGAGCGACGCTGCCGTGCCGCCCGGAGATGCATCGCCTCGAGCACATTGGACAAATCACTGACGCCCACCGACTGGTGCCCACGGCGGTCCGGTTTTCGGAAGACTCACAGTGGGTGATTAGCGCCGGCGAGGACGAGACACTCGCCGTCTCCTCCGTGGCGGAGCTGAAGACGACTTTTGTGTGCAGCGAGTTTGTCACGCGACGGCACTGTATGGCGTTCATGAACACCTTCACCTCCCTCTGCATCCTCGCCTCGCCGCCCGAGTCCTCGGTCATTGTTGTGGCCGCCTGCGCCACGGACGGGACGGTGGTTCAGTGGGTTGTCAACCCCACCACCGCGCGGTCGAGCTACACGAAGAAGCTGCAGCTGCACCTTGGGGCGCTTGTGGCGATGGATTTTATGCGTGACGGTGCCGCCTCGTAACGCACTCGCGCGTGATGCTTCCCCCTCCCCCTTTTTCTTCCGCTTCCCTCCAGTCCGTGTGCTTGTGTGTGTGCGCTTGATTGCGGCTTGGTGTGGCGTTGTGCCTGGCGGGCGCGGGGCAGACGGTGAAGCGGCGGCTACAGCCAAAAAACAACAACAACAACCAAACACACACGCACACACACAACAAGCACAAATGCCAGTAATAATGGGCCCACCCCCCAACTCCTGCTCTCCCCAGGGCTCATTGAAAAGAAAAGAAAAAAAAAACAAGGGACTGCGATGCCATCGGTGACTGCCCCGTGTAATGCATTGCAATTCATGCGTGCCATGCTGCTTCCTCCCCTTGTCTTTGCATTTGGTTTCCGCTCAGTCTATCTATCTATCTCTCTCTCTCTGCCTCTGTCTCTGCGCGTGCGTGTCTTCCCCGCGGAACTGAGGTGAATGGCGCTCATTTTGGCCGACGCCGTGGAAAAGGAGGCGCGGCGCATCATTGCCTCCGCAAACGCCTTCGACGCCCTCGCCCTGAACCCCGTCGACGCCAAGGGGGAGGCTGTGCTGCGACGGTACGAGGAGAAGGTCGCCCCGCTGCGGCGGCTGGTGCGAAACCGGCTGGCGATGGAGGCGAAGGCCCGGCTGGACCACGCCAAGCTCCTGCTGCTGGACGACGCACTGCGCGCGAAGGAGCTGCGCCGCTTCAACGACCAGCAGCGCGGCGCCGTGCGGGAGCGCGAGGAGCTGAAGGCCCTCGAGGCGCGCACGAAGATGCTGGAGGCGCGTGCGGCGGCGCTGTCGCCGTAGGCGCCCCTCCCCTCCCTCCCTCCCCCGGCTGCGGCTCCGCGGCCATTCAGAGCGCGCGGGGGGCCTCGCGTGCCCTGCCGGCGACCGGCGCGTGTGTGCAGGTTTTTTCTTCCCTTTTTTTTTCTTCTTCTGCGCTCCCACTTCTTCCCTTTTCGTTTTTGCCTTTTTTTTGGCCTCGTCTCTGCCTTTTGCCTGCGGCCCCGCTTTTGCCGTGCGTGGGGGAGCGGCGGAAAACAAAACACAAGGAGCAGGAAAAGCGAAGCAGCAAAGGCGCACACGCACCCCCAAGAGCAAAGACAAACACAAAAACAGCAGCAGGGCGGCCCCGCAGGAAAAAAAGAAAGCCAAGACAACAACAACAACAACAAGAAAACCCCAACGCGAAGAAGGCAGCACGAAGAAGAGGAAAAAGAAGAAACAAAGCAAAAAGCATGCAGCGCAGCCTCATCGCCGGCCACAACAACAACCGCCACCTCACCGTGGAGGAGCTGGAGAACAACATCGGCGGCCTCCCCATCACCGACCAGAAGCTGCAGGAGCTCTTCGACTCCCTCGACACGGAGCACAACGGCTACCTCCCGCTCGAGGAGGTGAAGGCGTTCTACCGCTCCCTCGAGCACTACGGGCTGGACCCGACCGAGGCGGAGCTAGAGGCGGAGGTGCGGAAGTACGCCAGGAGCGACGACAACTTCATGACCTTCGACGAGTTCTGCTGCCTCATGCTGAGCTTTGCGCAGCGGTAAAAAAAAAAAAGACGAGCAAAGAAGAAGAAGAAGAAGAAGAAGCGAAGCGCGTGGAGGCCCGGGGGGCAGCCAGTCCCCCTCCCCGCCCGCGCGCGTTTGCGCGGAAGGCGACGACGACGACGACGCCTCTTTTCCGGGAACGAAATGACGTTGGGCCGGAGGCGAAGGGAGGCAAACAAACATACGATGTAAAGAAAAGATAAAAAAAAACGAAAAGAAAACGAAGAGAAAAAACAAACCAAAACAACAACAAAACGAAAAGAAAAGAAAAAAGAAAAGAAGAAAAAAAAAATAAGACCCAAGGACGTTACCC